CCACAGTCTGACAATCCGATCTGGTTTGGTAGCGGCCACCGCGAGCTGTTGGCCTTCCCGGCTGAGTTTTATTGTACTACTGCGATGTTTTTCTCCGCCGCAGGTTGCTGAATTAAATTTTATCGTTTGTCGGCGGCCATCGCTCCCTGCCCTTACCATTTCGTTTGACTCCCCGATAACTAGAACTATATCTAATAATCACCGTGTTGATGGGGTATAATGAAAATAAAAATAGCTTTTAGGTGCTGCTTGCTTACGGTTTTCATCATATTTTGCGGCAGCACTCGCGTCACTGCTGTGGTCATCGCAAACCGTGACGAGCCACTATATGATGGCTATGAATCGCACGCAACGAAGCAGTCAAGAGGTGTCTGTAACTAGGAAGGACAAGCATGCTGCCGCGAAAATAAAAAAACCTAAATAAGAAAAAAAATAATTAAAACCGTAACACGTGTGAAACCAAAACTACGCAACGAGTAGAACTTTATGATTGTGATGTTTGTGTCCCTTCAGGTTGTTCCTTGGGATATTTTTAGGGTTTTTTTTTTTTTTTTTTTAGAAATTGGGAGAAACAGGGGAGAAGCAAGATAGAAGTGATTGAAGTCTTTTGCGGTTTCTACTTCTGGGGGGAAATCAGGGAATCGTGGTAACTTTGTTGCAGCATTACAGTCAGCTGTGCTGCACGCCGAAATGATGAAGGCACTAATGTGTTATCACAAATGAAAACGGTCGTTGAAGTGGGGAAGGGGGGTAGATGGTAAAAAATACTCAAAAATTAAACGAGCATTTTAACAATCAAAGGCTAATTCCTGACACATCATTGATGACTACTTACATTTTTAGACTACTCATATATATATATATATATATATATATATATAAGCTCTCTTTTTCACAGGTCATACATATTGCAATCAGTGTCTCGCCAAAAAAACTCATAGTGAGCCTAGTCAAGTTGTGCGTTTCGCCTTCAGTATAATATTGTACTATATATATATATATATATATATATATATATGCACATACGGTAAGTTATAAAACTTATAGCTACAATGCCTACGACTGATATTCTAAGCACGACACTATTTGGCTACTGGAATCACCTTAATAGTTTGTTAAACAATTGTTACAGTTATTTAGCGACCAATATTAATTGTTTATTATATCTGTACTCTGTTGTATATACAACTTTAATGTCGTGGAATCGCGACAAATGACGATGTTTGAAATGCTGCTTAACTATTATATACTTAATATTATTATCACTATTATTTATCGTTTATTGGCTTACAGTTGGCGCTGTTGTTTGCCGAGCATTTTCGGGTTGTTGTTACTCAATCGATAACTGTGCTGTACATAAATATTATTAAGCCTCTCATATGGAAGTCATTTTACTGAAAAACGGTCGGAGGAAGGGCAAATGCAATCATTTGTGAAGCATGATGGCGTTGAAGTGTGACGCGAAAATTCGACAAAAGCTATCCTTATTGCAGCATTTCGGTATAGGAAATACTGTTTTTTTTTTTATATCCCTCTAACTTCGATATTTAACAGGTAAATGAAAACTAAATGGGTGCATTGCTGTTATGGCCGTCATTAGATCTATCGATCATCGGGCGATCCGGGCTCATTGGAATTGTATAAATACGGACAGCCGTGACAATCAACCCTGCCGTATTTTCGTGTTTCTAAACCAGACGCATGTCTTGATTGGCATATCGGTTATTTTGTCATTGTGTATTGGTTGGAAATCCGGGTTGTGTAAATAAATCTCGCTTGTTTGTTTGTGTTAAGCGTACACAAACATTTACTTAGTGGCCTTCATATATGTATTTTTTGAAGCCTACCGTCTATACAGAAACCTTGGATTTACGAAATAGGAAATTCGAACGTCATTTGATGTTCACTTATTTCCTCCCCAAAGACTATGCTAGCTTTTTTTTTATGACAAAATTACTTCATGTATATTTTTGCCGAGCAAATGATCTGCCTGAATTCCCGAAAGTCCATTTTGCTTACCTCGTCCACCGTGCATGGTCTGATTCATACTGTATTACAATACTTGACCTCCATCGCAAAGGTTAATTAGGCGTTGATCAACTAACTTCCAAGGCGCTGAAGGTTAGATCATCATTGTTTTACCCCAAACTATTTCGAGACCAGCCATTGTTGGACCGAAGTGTATCATCCAGCCTACTGTCACTCCTACGAAGACGAGTGAATCCGAACCCTACGATACGCTACAAAGCAATAGAGTCGTTCTGTATATATATATATATATATATATATATATATTTATATATATATATATATATATATATATTCAAATTGTATAGGACAATTTCGATTTATATATATATATATATATATATATATATATATATCGAAATTGTCCTATACACTATAAGCATAACGATGTATCTGGGCGACGCGGTGCCCTTGATGCAGCTGCTTTTGGCTACCTATAAAAGACATTTGTCTGAAGCCTTGAAGTGCACTCCATCCACCGTTTAGTCGATTAAATATTTACTCGATCTCGTTACATAGCACGATGGGACACGCTTTCAGTAGATGACAGAGGGGAAAGGATTCCAAGAGGAGGCACTTGGAGAATTGTTTTAAGCCGTCGATGCCACCAGACTCGTCTCTTAATACAGAACGTGACGTCTTTATTTGAGAGTGCTGTGATATATAGGGTGCATGGTTTCCGCCATCATCTCGTGCTCGTATGCACCGTTTACATTCTTATTTTTTTAACGAACTCGTACGCACATGACCCTATTATTTATTGACAGAACGATTCTTCATCATGATTTGAGAATATTGAAAAAAAATGGGATGTCATCACTCTTCGAAAGTGCGAGACGAGCATCAGGTGACAGCGCTTGAGCATCTGACTGTCAAAGAGATTCAGGATATCAGTGAAAAGATCGAACTGCCCTTCGTGTCGCAGCTTAGCGATAGAAACGAGTTTCTCATTGGAGACCCTATAAATATTACGATGGCTTTCCGGCAATTTCGCTCTTTCAAGGTGATCTAAAATTGGCTTATCGATTGCTGTCTCGAGTAGATGATTGCACGTTTTCTTAACCAACAAACGTCACCGGCGGACGTTAACTAAAAAATGATTGACTTCATGAAGAAGTTCGTGAAGACGCTTTTTGAAAACAAGGACGTTATAGCTGTGCTTAATAACCGACAGATGCGGTTACGGCCGGACTTCCTTTTCTCCCACCAGATCGATAAGGGGCAGGATAAACACTGTCTACAATAGTGCTGACTAGGATGTATATATGTAATAGAGGAACTGCTATTGCCACCTTAGACAGTATCTGTACCATTCTCAGCCTATCTCTTGAATCGTGAAGGTCACATGTTACCGTAATGTTTAATTCAAATCGATTTGTTGCCTGTGACCGAGCTGTTGTAGCTTGTGTCGGTTCGTAAAGTGACGTACGGGTCACAATGAAAAACAAACCAAAAGACGATTTGACGTGTTTAAAGAACGTAAGAGAGGGTGAAATAATTGTACACTGGTTTAGGCTTGTTACTTCATTAAGCAACGGTGGACTTTTATGAGGGACATAACCTTTATTGTATATATGTCGATATCTATTCGCTTTTAGCGACGACTAAGTCGAGCAACGGGAGGACCGTATTGCGGGTCATTCGTCTACCCTTATTATAGCAGTGTGATATGTGTCTGAATAGGCTTTTAAGATGCAGGACATTACAAGTCTACTAATGTGAAGATTCCACAAGATCGTTTCTATGAATATGTTTGCAATACGAGTAGTGTGACATTTGCCGCGCAGAGCGCTGAAGTTTTTCTATAAATCCAGTGGATAGTTAATGAGCCACGTTGAACAATTTTATGGTAACGTTGTACGCTAAAGTGGAACTACATGCATGGCATGGTTATGATTGCCAACTTAAGCACTCGGGTGTTTAGTGAAATTGAGTATTAAGGAATATTAAGGCAGTATCATACGGTTTTACGAACTATTATTAGTGGCGATTATTAATTCACTCTAATTAAAGTGGACATTAATTTATTAAATATCCGTCTATCAAGACGTGAGTAAAATGTGCAGTTCACAAGTACGTTGCGTTGCGTTGGATTATTGCATTAGACAATATAAAGGGAGCATCTTTGCTTTTCGGTGAGCAGCGAAAGTCTTCCAAACAAAGGACAGGTAGTTAAAGCCGTCATTTGTCGTTTTCTATAAGAAAATATTTACTTTTTTTGTTGTCACGAAAGCAGTTTTAAAGTCATAACCGTAAAAACTTTTTGTGGTTATTGCGAGCTATTACATTAAACTTGTAATCAAAGTTGATAAAATTTGTCAATAGTTTCAGTTTGTGTGTCGGAGGCTACAACTGAGGACTGCCGTTTTAAGGTCGAGCATTCCTTCATATTTGTGCCATGCGTTTCAGTTCATTGAAGGTGCTGTTTTTTCATATTTCTAGTTTACTGCAGGACCGAAGATAATGATTGAGTGGTAGACTCCTAAATTTTATGTTGCCAATCGAGAAAAACACAGGCGATTGATACGACGTGGGGGGCAGGATTTCCTGATTGGAATGCTGGCAAACGCTGGTGCATTCAAGTGTGCAACGAGCAAAGTTGAAGTTAATAATCGAGAGAGCAATGAAAATGAAGTATAACACAATACTCGTAACAGCCTTCTACATTACAGTTATACCTAATTTCTTAAACAAAGTTAGCTTTGTTA